GCCAAGCACATTCCTGCGAGAAACCAACCATCAGCGCTGAGAGGACGATAGCAGGATTCGGCGTCTCTACAGTGTTTGGCTGACAAGTCGCTACCGCTAGACACACAGAGACACGGGGAAGGTGACCCGCTCTCAGGAGAAAAGACAAGCCAAGGAGACGGACCCCGAGATAAGTGGGTGTCCGAGTTAGCAGGCGAGGATGCCACGAAGGTGTCATGACTTATATTCACCTTTTAAGATTGAAAAAATACCATGGACTGGACAGCTCACTCTACAGAGATGTCCCCTCCCACGGATCTGGAGGATGGAAACGCAAGGGTAGGTGACAGCAGGTTTCAGGAGGGCCAGCTCCTCCCGAGGCTCATCTCTGGCTCACAGGGGCCATCTGCTTACCCTGTCCACACAGGACGTGTCCTCCCTGCACAGACCTCCCTGGTTGTAAGGACACCAGTCATATTGGGTTAACCTTAATCACCTCTTTAAAGGTCCCACCTCGAAATGCAGTCACACTGGGTGTTAGGATTTCGACATACGAGTTCAGAGAATTCAGTTTTCAGTTCATAACATAACTGACCTCAGGAACATTATGCATATCTTACAAATGTGTGTTTGCACATACACATGCATGCACAGCTTATGACATAGGCTATCTCGGGGTAGAGGGCAGAAACAGAAGCCAATAAAACAACAAAATGGAATTTTTAGAAAAATATAATGTTTAATTAATAATCACTTACTGCACAGGCTTAAGAGAAAACTGGACTAGAAGGAAAGATCAGTGAAGTGAAAGGCAGGACAATAAAAATATATACAAACTGAAGCTTAAAGAGGAAAAAAGCATGGGGGGAAAGAGCATAGTCTTAATGACTTGTGGGACAACATCAAGTGGTCTAACATATGAATAATCGGGGTCCTGGGAGGAAAAGACAGAGAATTGGGTAGGAAAAAAATTGAAGAAATAATGGATGGAATCTCTCTATTTTTGATAACATGTACTTATAGATTCAAGAAACTCTGGAAACCCCAAGCTGGATAAACCCAAAGAAAATTTATCCAGGCACTTCACAGACAAACTACTGAAAATCAAAGATAATGAGACAATCTTGAGAGCAGACAAAGCAAAGTGACCAGGAGGTAAGGGCAGGGAGGGTCTGGAGCCCTGACTTCTCCAGCAGCAAAGGGAGCCAGAGCACAATGGAACAAGAGCTGCATGGTTTTAAGAGAACAAAAAGCATCTGTCAACCCAAAATTCTGTGTCCAGTGAAAATATCCTTCCATACTAAAGTGAAACAAAGACATTTTCTCATAAAACCAAGAGACTGTGGTTACAACCTTAGTTATAAAAATACTAATGGAGGGCCTCCCTGGTGGCGCAAGGGGTTAAGCACCACACTGTGAAGAAATCCGCAGCCTCTGCAGCACGAGTTCGATCCCCAGCCAGGGAGCAACCCACATGGCACAGCAGACCTCTCCTGTCTCACCCGCTGCTCCCCTCAGCAGTGTATTTCAGTAGATCTGCCTGTTCTGTTCCCCACTCTGTCTCTGGTGAATCCTCTCACCCCCTGCATCTCTGGCCTGTACCCCAGCTCTTGTATGCATAAATAAATAAATCTTTGAAAAAAAAAAAGAAATGCTAACGGAACTTGTTTCTGCTGAAATGAAATGATGCCACCTGGAAGACTGAATTTCCAGGAGGGGAATGAGCAACAATGAACATGGCAAACATGTAGGTAAATATATAAGAAGCTTTTCCTGCTAATTTTATTATGTGACTGTGTAAAGAAAAGTTAAAGGGTTGGGGCGAGGGCTGTTAAGGAAGGCGCAGGCAGCCTGTAAGTCACTAAGCATAAACACGGACTGGGCAGGGAGTGGGCCCGTGGAGCTACGGCATTTCCGCACTGCAGCAGCAGTGATAGCAACTCTAAGCAGACTAGGAAAAGTTAAGGATGTTCCTTGCCATCCCTTGAGCAGTTATGAAAGAAATCGTGCCTAGTGCCATTGCCAAAAATATTCAATGACTGCAAAGGAAGGCAAAAGAGGAGGAACTCCAGATCAGAAATACAGTAGACACACGGCAGTCAAATGGTAGAATGATAAATCTAAACCCAACCATAAAAATGACTATATTATATGTCAACAAACTAAGCACTCCATTTAAAAGGCAAAGATGGTCAGAATGTATTTTTTAAAGCGAAATTCAATTATATGGCGTGTATGAAGGATGGACTTTTATTAAAAAGATACAGTTTGAAAGTCAGTGGTTGGAAAAAGATGTATCATATAAGCTGTAGCATAAGGCTGAAGTGTTTATATTAATATCAGATAAAATCAACTTCAAGACACAAGTTATTACCAGAAAGAAAGAGTAACATTTCATAACAATAGAGGCTCAGCTAGAGAGACATAAAATCCAAAGCACTTGTGTGCCCACATAAGATTTCCACTCAAAGACACAAATCAAACATTGGCATTCACTCTACTCCCTCCAGACACCTTGCTAAAATGATACTAAGACATATTTATTATAAAAAAATTCCAACATACAAAATGTATAATTGATTCCTATTTACTCACACCTAGATTTAATACTAATTTGTACCATGCTACATATGTTTCTCTTCCCCACCCTGGAGTGTCTGAAAATACATTGAGTTTTTAAAATTTTAAGTGGTGGAATTTCATTCAATAAAGGAATTTTAGAAAAACTTAACACATAAATTCAATAAAACTTTTAGAAGGAAAAAGAGGAGGAAGCTCTTTATGACCTTGGGTTAGTCAAAGAGTTCTTATATATGACAAGAAAAGCACAAACACATAAAAGAATTGATCAATGGGACCTCATAAAAATGCAAATCTTTTGTTCTCCAAAAGATACCATTAAGAAAATAGAAAGGCAAGTAACACACTGGGAGAAAATAATCCGAAATATGCATCTGTTAAAGGACTTGTATAAGATAATACAAAGAATTCTTACAACTAAATAAGATATCTGATCTCACCTCCACCCCTCCCCAAAAGAAAACAGACAAGCAGAGAAACAGACAAGCTAGTAAAAAAAAAAAAAAAAAAAAAAAAAAAAGGGAGGGCTCAGCGGTTGAGCGCTGGGCTGCAAAGCTGCCCGAAGCCTCTGCAGTGCCGGTTCAATCCCAAGGGTCCCACATGGTGCGCAGACCTCTCCTGCCACGCCCGCTTCTCCCCTCAGCAGTGTATTTTGTCAGTCTGCCTGTTCTGTTCCCCGCTCTGGCTCTGGTGAATTCTCTCACCCTCCCGCCCTTCTGACTGTACCCAGTGCTTGTATAAATAAGTAAATTTTTTTTTTTAATTAACCTGGAGGGAATACAGTTCTTTCAGGGAGAAGACAAAGAGATGAAATAAAAGAGACAGCATTTTTAATAGGAGCATTCAAAGAATGGGAAAGAGCTTTTGGAAACTAAATATATGATACCAGAAATGAACAACTTTAACTGTAAAGGTTGGCAGAGAAAAAACAGCAAAAAGGAAATAGCAAAAAGGAAAAGAAAGAAAAACAAGGAAGGGAGGAAGGAAGAAGGAAAGGAAAATAAGAGAGAAAAGCTAAGAAAATTAGAGGATCCACATAGGAGGTCCAACAGACAACTAATCGGAGCTCAGAAGGAAAGAACACAGTGGCAGGGAGGAAATCATCTATGAAATGTCTCAAGAAAATGTCCCAAAATGGATATATAGGAGTTTCTGGATGGGGAGGGCACTGACCCAGGGGTATAAATTTAGACATAAGGGATAAATAGACATATGGTATAAACAGACATGTGGTACAAATATGCCATTTGTCTAATTTTTTTAAGTTATAATATATAAGTGCTAATAAGTAAAACATGGACTGTCCTCCTACCTTGACAAACACACCTTCAGAACTGCCTGGAGGGCTGGGTTCTGCTGCAGAACACCCAGGTCCTTTGAGTTCTGCTCCAGAATATGGAGAGGTGGGGAGAGCTGGCCCCTGCTGAATCCCCAACTCCTGGATCTGTCCCACACCATGAGGGGCCTCATGTGCACGGGGACTCGCCACCCCACACATCCCAACTGCAGCTCTACCCCCCCACAAAGAGCTGCTTCTTGGCCATTCTGTAAGAACAGAGGTGCAAATAGCACAGTGGGCTGTCCTCAGGACAGGCCCAGGGAAGACACCATGGGTCCCGGAAGTGGACGCTGGGCTTGCTATTCGGAAGGAATTCCGGGTTCCAGGCATGCACCTGGATCACTGCCGGGGCCGAGGTGCCCAGTAGATCGTTGTCCTGTGGAGGAAGCATGGCTGGAGGATGGCCAGGGCTCTCCCGGTGTGGGCCTGGCATGGGAACTCTGGCCCACATCTCCGGGGGCCCTTCCCAGCTGAGGATGACAGGAGACCCAATCAAGGCACAACACTGTAAAATTTCACAGCACAGGGACAAAGAAAGATTCTAAACGCAGAGAGAGACCAGGCTTCCCACAAAGAGCCGAGCATCAGAATGACAATGGACTTCTCAATAGCAACACTGGAAGGCAGAAGTCAGGGAATCAAAACTTTCAAAACTGCGGGGCAGGGGCAGAAGGGTTTCTAATCTCAGAGTCTATATCCAGCCAAACTTCTAGTGGAGTGGGGGTGTAGAATAAAGGCAATGGCAGACACAAGATTTGCTCCCTATGCACCTCCCTTTGGACACACTGGTGACTGGAGCCCTACTTAACCCAGCCAGTAAAACCAGCAGTTAATGAGAGGCCCAGCTCAGAGAGAAGCGAGGAGGGCCCCCCGGCGGGGTGCGCCCCGACTCTTCGGGGTGCAATAATTACACAAACCCAGCAGCTTGCAGTAACGACCTTGCACTGCCCAGGGCAGACGCTGGGGGCGGGCTGGGGGCAGGGCCTGGCTTGGGGC